TGGGATTGTGTGGATCCGTGTCTTGGCAGGGGCATGACCAGAACTAATGCAGCATCTGGACTCTGGTCTAGGCTCTATATTCTCCTTCGGAAGCCATTGGAACCCTGTCCCTTTTGGATGAGGCGAGTCACTCTGACCTCAGCCCCCACCTCAATGTGCCACACGCCTGCCCCCACCCTCCTTGGAGTCACATTGCTGGTGTCGACCCAGTGTGTTCATTGGTGCCCACGGGGGCTGTGCCAAGTAGAGACCCTCATGGGCTGCAGCAAGGTCTGGCCCACTTTGCCAACTAGTAATCCCCAAGAGAGCCTGCTGGTCAAGGTAACTCTGCAAGCCCTGGGAACCCATACATTATCAGTCCCAAAGATGAACAAAAATTGAAAATGGAAGACTTTACCATTGCCTTCTTCTCTGCTTCCCCACCCCACCCACACATTACCCAAAAAAGGCATCAAGTCTCCTTGACCATCTGCTTCAGAACTCAGCCCTAAAGTCACAATAGCTAAAGCTGCTGTTGAGGTCAAGGAGCAAAGAGGTCCCCAAATAGACATCTACACTGGGGTCAGAATTTTTGTTTGGAATTTGCCATTATGTCCTTATGGAGTTAGAGTTGGAGATACAAGAGCCATTTTTAATGTTGGAAGTGAATTTGACCTGGTGCTTTAAAGACCAACTTGTAAAATAAACATACGTTGTTGCACAAGGGGCTCTTAGGGGAGCTGGCCTTGAACATCACACTTGGCCTTGCACATCCGCTCAGTGCAAGAGTTTGGAGCAAGTTCTTGGGACAAGGCATGCAGGGCATAGAGCCCAGAGCACAGAGCCCAGGTCCAGGGCAACCTTGGCGCTGACTTAACCAATGGCCCATAGGCCAGCCAGAAATCGCTAAGGAGGCGCTTAATGCACCACTTCTGAACTGCAGCCAGAGGCAGATGGAACCAAGTAGTTTTAGGAGCTTTGATGGGGCCAACATATCCCCAAAGGCAAGAGTGAGGTAATCGCCTGCTTCTAGTCACAGCCAAAAGCATGTATCAGTAAAGGATGCATTTGATAGTTAAGTGGCCCAAAGTGTATTTGGATTAGAGTTAGGAGTATGCCTTTCCTTAAATTGACTAGAACCGTGTGGTGTTGCCTCTAATAAAAGCTAAAAGCCAATCTTTTCTTGCAAAACAAACAAACAAAAATTACCAGAGCTGGGCATGGTAGTGACACCTATAATCCATGAACTCAGGGAGGCTCAGGCAGGAGGACTGCAAGTTAGAGCCTACCCAGGAAACTTAACAATTTACTGATATCCTATCTCAAAAAAATTAAAAAGGGCTGTGAATACAGCCCAGCAGGCAGACCCTGGGTTCAATCCCCAGTACTGGAAAATAAACAGAATTACTGGAAGAAAAGAATTAATGATCCTTCCTGCCACCATCACGCTGCATGCTGAAAGAGTCCACCTCTTCAACAGTAGCACAGCAGCTGCTCTAAACATGTGCCATTGCCACACCCTACTTGGGAACAAGACTGGCACTGCTGACCCCTGAAAACAGACGTGGCACCAGCTGAGCCATGGTGCTGGAACC